GTGGTTCAAATGCTAGGGCACTAGCCTTGAGCACAGAGAGTCTCAAGGACAGAACCTAGGCCTTGAGTTCAAGCCCTGGGACTGGCAAAAAACAAAAACAAAAACAAAGTGGTAGAGGGGCTGGGAAGGGCCCAGAGTTAAGGCCCCCTGACTGATGAAAAAAAAAAAAAAGTGGTAGAGCACTAGCCTTAAGCAAAAGAGCTCAGGGATAGTGGGGGGCTTGATCAAGTTCAAGCCCCACAACTGACAAAAAAAAAGTACATAAATAAATAAATTAGAAATCTCATCAATCCCAAAAAGGTAGCAGATAACAGATGAGATTCAATCCCAGAAGCATCTAACTTTGATTCTAAAACCTTCATCCTAATCATTCTGTTCCACACCTTACACAATACAAACTGAGTTTTATGAGAAGTAGGCTACAACACACCCTTGGAATTAGGTAAGCTAGAATGCTACATAGTTGTAGATTGTCTTTCCACCTTAATGGGAGAAATGTGTATTATGTTGTTATTCACAACTAGTATAGTTCACAACTAGTATAGTTCTGTGTTTTTTTTTTTTTGTCGGTTGTGGGGCTTGAACTCTGGGCCTGGGCGCTGTCCCTCAGCTCTTCAGTTCAAGGTGATTGTTCTACCACTTAAGCTACAGCGCCACTTCTGGTTTTCTGGTGGTTAATTGGAGATAAGGGTCTCAAGCACTTTCCTGCCTGGGCTGGCTTTGAACAGTGATCCTCAGATCTCAGCCTCCTGAATAGCTAGGATTACAGGTGTGAGCCACCAGCACCCAGCTATAGTTCTGTTTTTAAACACATCCCAGTAATTGATTTAAGTATATATATAACTATATATTATATATGTGCTGTTTTATTCTGGGTTCCATAAGTTAACTGCCTTTCTAGGTAATATTTTTGGCAAAAGTTTAAATGTTATAAATTTAGATAACTGTTTATAATCAGATACTGCATAGCTGTTGAGATGTAAGCATACCTGTGATACTCAACTTGTGGATAGTAAGGGGCACTGGGCAGGACTGTCTTCATAAAGTCTATCAGCAAACTATTACATAGTATTTTTTTCCACAGGAGAACACAACTAATTTTTTTTTTTGTTTTTGTTGGTTATAGGGCTTGTACTCTGGGCCTGAGAGCTATCCCTCAGCTCTTCAGCTCAAGGTTAGTACTCTGTCACTTGAGCCACAGTGCCACTTCTGGTTTTCTGAGTGGTTTATTGGATATAAGAGTCTCACAGAGGGGCTGGGAAGGTGGCTCAGTGGTAGAGCACTTGCCTTGCATGCCTGAGGCCCTGGGTTTGATTCCTCAGCACCACATAAGCAAAAAGAAAAAAG